CCCTCCTTCCCTCCTTTCTTCCATCCTTCCTTCCTTCCTTCCTTCCCTCCTTCCCTCCTTCCCTCCTTCCTTCCCTCCTTCCCTCCTTCCCTCCTTCCTTCCTTCCTTCCCTCCTTCTCTTTTTTCTTTTTCTTCCTCCCTCCCTCCCTCCCTCTCTCCCTCTTCCTTCCTGCCTTCCTTCCTTTCTTCCTTCCTTCTTCCTTCCTTCTCTCCCTCCCTCTCTTTCTTTCTTCCCTCCTTCCCACCTACCTTCCTTCCTCTTTCTTTCTTTCTTTCTTTCTTTCTTTCTTTCTTTCTTTCTTTCTTTCTTTCTTTCTTTCTTTCTTTCTTTCTTTCTTTCTTTCTTTCTTTCTTTCTTTCTTTCTCTCTCTCTCGCTCTCTCTCTCTCTCTCTCTCTCTCTCCCTCCCTCCCTTCCTTCCAGCTGTGAAATCCATGGAAGAGGGTACCCCAGCCCCTCAGCCTGCATCACCCCATCTCAGATTTGGGAATGGGGAGCAAATTATTTTCTCAACCTTGTCAAGAAGCAGTAGGAGACGTTAAAGGCAAAGCCCGGACTTGGATTTCTGGCACTCAGCCTTGAATGCTGAACTGGAGAGAAGGACACCAGTGAGGAACACAGGAAAAGAATGTTCTCTTCCGTTCTGGTTCTTAATCTCCAGGGGCAGACAAAGCTGCTGAGTCAAACCCCTGGTGCATCTTGCTCACCGTTATGTGCCATGACCCGTAGCCTTCTCCAGGCAAGGATCCCTCCCAGCCCTATCGGGAACTGAACATGGGGGCTTCTGCAGGCAAACCAAAGTGGTCTATCAATGAACTATGGCCATTTTCTAAAGGGAAGGGAAGAAAGACCCAGCTACTAAATGTATTAAATTAGGGACCTCACACACAGTGCTTTGTTTTGTATAGATATTCTCTTGATAAGAATTCACTGCATTTCTTTTTTTTAATATAAATCTTTAATTTTTATTAAATAAACATCCAACCTAAACAACATGAACTTAACACCACAATAAAATACAATTATATAATGCAGCAGTGCCACCTTCACCCTCAGGGCTAGCTTTAATAATATTTTTAAAATTCATTCAATCCATTTTCTCTCCAATACTTCATTGTTTCTTCCCTCGATGTATACCCCTTCCCTCTCCGAAATATATATTCCAAAAATATACTCCATATTTTCTTAAAATCACCATTTTTGATAGGCCTTATCTTATTTTCATATCACTTATCAATTTATCATTAATTGCCATATATCATAATCCTCTATGCCATTCCTCTAAATTAAATTAATTCACTCCATTTCTATGGCTGCCAAAAACTCAGTGAATTTCTGATGTTTTTCTTTGAAGGGGACCAATGCATTCTAATGAAAATATTGGTGGATCTTTCCCTAGTATGGTCTCATTTTTCTTATTCCTTTTTATATCTGACCAGTTCACTATGACATTTCCTATTTAGTTTTCTTCCCCTCTCTTTATTCTTTACCCCTCCATCCCATTCCATCCAAGTTTAATATAATAATGATCATGTGCCGTCAACTCAATACTGACTTATGGCGATCCTTTAAATAAATCTCATTGAGTCATTTGACCTATTCTAGTTGGGACAAGCAATTGGATAATTATTACTACCTTTATTTTTATAATACCTGCATAGATGATGATGATGGTAATAGCAGTAGCAGTAGCAGTAGCAGTAGCAGTAGCAGTAGCAGTAGCAGTAGCAGTAGCAGTAGCGTAGCAAGTGGTGGTAGTAGCAGTAGCAGTAGCAGTAGCAGTAATAATAATAATAATAATAATAATAATAATAATAATAATAATAATAATAATAATAATAATAATAATAATAATAATAATAATAATAATAATAATGCATGCCTTCCAACAATGTCCAAGCTCCTCACAGGAGTACTTGCAAGATCAATATATAATTACTTAACTGAAAAGTCCCTATGTGCAGCTGAACAGAAAGAGAACTTTAAAAAGTCAAGAGGCATGAAAGATCAGCTGCTTATTGATAAAATGATACTGAAGAATGAAAAAAGACAAAAAACAACCTTAACATGGCCTGGATAGATTATAAAAAGGTATTTGACTCATTCCCACAGCTGGATTCATACCTGCCTAAAAATGTTTGGGAATAGTAAAAACATTCAGAAGTTCTTCAAGAAAAAAATGAAAAAAAAGTCTTAATGGCCTATGGTGAAGAAATTGGGGAAGTTAGCATCAAAAGAGGAATATTTCAAGGAAATTCAAGGGGATTCTTTGCCACCACTGCTGTTTAACATCTCACTAATCCCCATGTCAATAATTTTAAATAAAACTGGATTGGGCTACTATATTTCAGAACAAGCTGGAAAAATCAATCTTCTCTTATTCATGGATGACCTAAAACTATATGCAAAAAGTTCCACAGAGATAGAATCATTGCTAAACACAGTGCAAATATTTAGTGAAGATATCCAAATTAAATCTGGAATTGACAAATGTGCAACTCTGTCTATATACCATGGCAAGATCCAAAAACTAGATGGAATAGAGTTTAGAAATGGCAATATTGTAAAATGCTATCAAGGAATGAAAATTATAAATACTTGGAATGCTAGAAGCAGATAACATCGTGCACTCAAAACTTAAAGAACTGACAGAAAGAGAATATATCAAAAGACTGCGGAAAATCTTAAAACCAAAATTAAATGGTGAAAATACAATCAAAGCCATAAATACATGGGCAGTTCCAGTGATTAGATACCCAGCTGGAATAATGGATTGGACTCAAAACGAA